CTCTCTCTCTCTCTCTCTCTCTCTCTCTGAGATACTGTAACATACACAAAACGATCATGATTCAGTCATAAGTTTCTCATCGAGAGTCACGTTTCATGCGGTTTGCTCTCCCTATTACAGTTGCTGCTCGCGAGCCACTTGACACTTTCAGAATTACCTTGCAGAATTACCACAAACTGAACCACCCTTGGAAAGCAGTGGAGGCACTTTCCCGTCCGGAAATTGCACATCCTCCAATGATGGAGAAGGACCCCAAGCTTATATTGGCAGAAAATTGCTTGAGTAAACTCACCGAAGAGCCTTTTGCATCGGTACATTACGCGGCATTATTGCAGCGGAAGCACCTGCTCCCGACTGAACCCTTCGGCGATAGCAAGATCGGACTTTTTGAGGATGGTGAGATATCTTATAAGCATGCAGCTCTCCATTGGGCAGAGTATACCACCGCGATAAATGATCCTCCTTCCTCCTTCCTCCTAAAGCTATCAGGATTTATCCTAAGCGTTGCGGCTGTCACGTGGTCAGAAGAACTGGTTGACATCAAGGGTGGGAGTGAAGCTACGACGATTAATGTCCAAATTGACGTCCGTACACAGCTGACGGATTGGGCTTATTCCCTGCCACCTCCGAAACGAACCAAAATTCCTCTGAGTGAGTTTTTCGTCACAGCGCATGAAAAGCTGCGGCACAAACTCACAGAAGATGGGGACGATAGTCTGCTCGCTTATCTTCCAGCTGTGCGCCTCGGTCAGTTTTATAGCATAGGGGGAAAGTCGGATGATGATTTTCGGAAAGCGTATGTTTACAAAAAGATCGTAGTGGATGGATACACCAAAATCCTGGGAAAACGCAGCCCCCTGACTTTGAAGGCTCGAACGACGTGGGCCAACGAGTTCTTTTCACGGCAATGCATTGCCGAGGCAGAGACGGAGCTGCTTGAGATAGCAAGTATTCAGAAGGAGGTGTCGGGTGAGGGATCACTCCCCTATCTGGAGGCTCTCCAGCTGCTCGGAAGCGCTCAGTACTGTCTTACGAAATTTGGAAATGCATTCATATCATTGAAGGAGTCAGGGAGGGGATTATTTCGATTGCTTGGGAATGAAAACTGGGCGTATCAAGTCAATGACCTCTACATGGGGTGGGTCTTGGAACGACAAGGGGCGACAGAATCAGCATTGAAGATGTACAACTCGATCTTGCAGAATTGGGCCCCAATAGG